ATGCTGCTTCCCTTAATCTGTAGGAGATCCTGAGGAAAAAGCAAAGGAGTTGTTTGCTGCCAACTTATTAACTACTTTTTTTCTTCCACTCTTTTGCTGCACTCAGTTGATTAGTTATGATAAACTGGAAAAAAAAAGTTAAACAATCAAAGTAGCATTTAAAGTTTTGTTTTAACCGATACGTTTGTAATCGTCAGTTTAAACGACTATATGAATCGTAACGTTCAGGGTAATTAACGACTTTGTTTAAGCTACTCATCAAATGCATACATCAGTGTGGTTGGATAGTTGTTTGTCTACTTATTCATAGGTTTTCAGTATTACATCTGATATTCAACAGACAATTTTCACTGCTTTCAACTTTTTATACTTGTAGCGTAAAACTGTAGTAGAAAAAAAAAGTTGGGTAAAAACAAATTTCCATTTTTTTTTCTTCTGGTTTGATTTTTGATTGTTGTAAGAAAAAAGAAGTGAAATTCACAGTTTTGTTTACCATTATCATTATCGTGGTCGTAACTTTACATGAAAAATTGCCTCAATTTTCCGTCGCAATAGTAGTATCAAAGTTTAATACATAAACACACAAACTGTGGCAGCAACGGCAGTTGCAGCAGGAGTAAATTTTTCGGAAAAAAGAGTAATATGTGATCTTTCTAATTTCTCTTTAAAACTTTATTTTGATTCTTTAAAACGTTGTTGTAAGAAGAAAAAAAAAAAGGCGAAAGCAAGTAAACAAGACAAGAAAACAAAAACAACTGATTTTAAAAAATCTCTACTAATTTTTCTATTATAAACTCTTTATTTCTGTTCCAACTTTCTTCTCCATTTCTCGTCTTATTTACTGCATTAATTTTCAATTTTTTTTTCATTAACATATTTATGTTGAGACAGAGGAAGGCAGGAGAAGGTAAGGGGACGGAGGGGCAAACGACAGGAAATTGCTGTCTAATGAATTACAGTAGTTGTATTGTATTTTTCCGGAAATAACCGTTTGGTTTTGAGAAACACTTTTTTTTAATAAAGATTTGTACATAAAAAAGAAAAACTTTTACGAAGAAACAAAAATTATTAATTAAATAGTGGGCTTAATTTGTTAAGAACAATTCTGCAAATCTACTGAGACTAACCAACAAAGGCGAAAATGTCTCTAAACCCGATGAAAATCTTTTAAAAAACATTCAAATGTTTACTAAACTTAAAAAAAAGTTTGGTCTAGACTGTAAAATTTATCTGACTGATAATTTTAATTAATAAAAAATTACAGTAATGATTTACAGACATGAATTGTTGGCGGCAACAATGAAGACGATAATCGTAGGTCCTAAATTTAGTGCAAATGCATGTGATTGAAATTTTTTACTGTAGATTTATTTATCGGCCAAGTGAATAACATTTACTTGAAGAACAGTGTTTTTTTTGATACATTAAGGAAAACTGAGAATTTTGCAGGCATTTGTCTTCACAAAAAAATGTTGATCTTAAACGAAATTTATAATCCATCAGACCAAAAAAACACTTGGCTAGTATTGATACAGCTGTAATCGAGGCGCACTTATCTCTTCAACAGAAAAATTCTATCACTTGTTAGGTATCAGCAAATGAAAAGTAATGTTGAAATTGAACAGTAAAGTATAAATTTTTTCCAAGAATAAATTTCTGAAGAAAAAAATTTAGAAAAACACTAAATAAAGCATGTAAACTACAGAATATCCTTATTTAACCACAAGTTTCAACTATTCGCTACAGCAAAGATTGATGCTGATATAAAGCAGTACAGATTAATTGCTATTTTGCGGTAAAACTGAATATCACTTTTCTTTCACTGATTACTACTATTCAGTCATTGTACCAAAGTTGAATGACTGGAAAATATTTTATGGATTGTTGAGTATGAGTCGTTTTAGTTGGTCACATCGACAACGTCACCAAGCAAGCATGTTCATGGAAAGACTGAAAACAACATCTACTTTGCTTGACCAGAATACTTTAGAAAACCGCACAAGATTTCTCCTTGTCCTTTGTTCAACTCCTTCAGAAAAATATGATTTATAAAGGGAAGCGGTAGTGAGGATGCAGCAGCACCTTTGAACTGTTAATTTGTAATTAGGGCGAGAAAAACCTTAAATGTTGTCATACTTGGCAAGCATCTTGAGATTTGGTGGCATAGCTTAGTGATTGATTCACAAAAATTCAGTTAGCTAAATAGATATTCACAGGAATATTCCTTGTAAAGAAGGTGTTATTGTTGAGTACAGTGTTCGAATGTGATGTCGATGAGAGCCAATGCAATTATTCGGCGATATCGATCTCGTACTACGGAATGTGGTCTCGTTCTTAAGCCAGTACATTTCCGCAACGGCAACACACGACTTCGTGTTTTCCCTAAATATCTTGATGGTGATTTTGATTCTTCTTTCGATTCCCTGTCTAATAGTTGTAGCGCATGATTGTTACTTTAGTAGTGTACTTTATAATGGCATTTGTTGTAGATAAAGAATGTGTTTCGATACCAATTGATAGCCCGGATCAGGAGATTGGACGCCATATGCAAGGGATAACACTTGGTCAAAGTATTCATCAGCAGCGTAGTGGCGAATCGTCACCAATAAATGCACCAACGCGAACCAGCAGTCTGGGATCAATCAGTACAAAACGTCAAAGTGCGGAGGTAAATACCTTTGCGTTTCATCATCAACGCTTTGATATAATCTCACTGTCAACTATTTGGCAACTGATGCATGCTGTGTATAAGGGGTACGAATTGCTTGTAAGATCTTGAATACTATTCAGTTTCTTTTTACAGCAGATTAGAAATTAACCTTGCTATGCTTAATGCCACAACAGTCGTATACTTTACTACGATTTGTAATTTGGGTGCAGCTGAGTGAAATTTCTTCTCAAAATAGACTAGTAAAATCGCATCATACAATACATGCACAAGAAGCACAATAGGAGTAAGATTCCTGTGACTTTCCTATATATACGGTGATCTAGTGAATGAATAGGCAAAATAGGGGCTGATAAAACTGTAATTTAAGAAAAATTAAGCTGCTAAAAGCCACGGTATAAGAAAAAAAAGTAGGGAGTGGAATTTCAACAAATTTCTGAACGCGGAGCCCAAAAACCCTCAAACACTGATTCAAATAGCTGGTTGCGCTTGTTGTTTCGTTATTTATTTGGTTCTATTCTCGCTCAAGGATTCTTTGTACAGCGGAATCAGGCAACCAAAATTTTTGACTTATTTGAGGTTAATTTGCGATTTTTCATTTGAATGCGGCAAAGTAAGCTGCTCAGTGAAATTAACAACTAAGATACTTCAGAGCTACAGTGAGGAAAAAAAGTTGGATTTTTTAGCGAAAGAAGATCAAATTTTTTTGATATACGAAATAATCTTTGTTGATTGCCTATAGATTCATTTCCAGAATTTGGAACGCCTAAACAAACGTGCCCAATCCGATTCTCCAACAAACACTTGCCGTGACGAAGCCACATCGACGGTGACCAGTCATGAGAGTCAACAGCTGAAGAACAGCCTTACTAGCAGCAACAGCAGTGGCACTAGTAACAACAGCTACAATAACGGCACCAATAACGTAACAGCAACTAACAGCACCAGCAGTCAAATGTTTTCGCTGTTTCTGAGTCCAACCCCGTATTCAACTGCTGCACAAAATCCCCAGCAGTTTATTCAGCAAAGTAGTTTGCTGTCTGGAATTAGTGGTGATCATTTGACCTGGTCAAGCCCAACTACAGCCACTTCATCTCAACTATTTCAGCAGTCTAATTTACAAAATCAAAATCAATTATCTCAGGCCCTGTCAAAGTTGCTGGAACAACAGGCGTTAATGAATACTACCTCATCTGCATCGCTGTTCGGTCAATATAGTTTTAACGGGGTTTTTGGTTCTCCATTTACTAATCAGTCGCAAATCTCTGCATCAATGCATTCAAATTTTTTTACCAGCAACAGTTTTCCCACTTCAACAATTCCGTTCAACGTTCCTCATAGTTATTCATCCAATAGTAATCTTTGTGCAATATCGTCAACACATGAAATGCAGCAACCACCTGGAAGCTCAGCAAACATCTCTACCAGTGGTTACAACTTCCCCCTGTCACTGTTGAAAGATTATCAGCTGAGAGGCAACGACAACGAACAAGGAAGACGAGAAAACATCGAGCCAGCAAATGGATTTTCCAGGAATCTTCATGGTCAACAAACCTTTCAGAATGGTAATGTAACTATGCCGCAAAATTACCCTCCCACAAATTCTTTTACACAGTCACAACAGCAGCAACAGCAACAACAACAACAACAGCAACTATCACCAGGTAAAATGACTGTTTAGCTACTTATAGTTTTTAAATTTTTTCTTCTACCTTTCAATGATTTTTATTTATTTTTAATGAATGACATCAAATAAATACATTTGACCAACTGTAAGCAGCGTATGGCTAATTTCTGGTATTGTTTGTTTCAGAGTGTGAAGAGATTAGCATTGATGACAATACACCGTCGTCGATCAATGGCACAGAAGTACATTTTCGTACGCTAAAATTAAACCAATTTGGGGAAACTCTTCTAAGAGTTCCGAGTTATCGCAAATTCTTGGAAGCAGTGCTCAAATTAGAAAACGATTTTGTTAACTGTGGTAACAGTTTTACGTAATCTACAGGTGTCTGGCTGCACATGAAAACAAAAGCAAAAAAAAAAAAAAAGAGATTTTTCTTTCCTCATCTAAATACTTTACTTTTCCTTACATCATACGACAACAAAGAGCACCGTCGGAGGTAATCTGCATTGAAATAGCAATAAGCTTTAGGATACTTTAAACCAAGTAAAACTTTTGTTCTACCACTGAATATCTTCTGCGCTTTCCCCTTATTTTTTCTTTTCAAGAATTTTTTGGGTGATTATCCTGTTACTTTCTTAAGTTGTTAGGAAGTTTTTTTTAAAAAAAAAAA